ACATTGTTTGCAAATTCTATTTTCAGTAGGTATTTTTGGTTGCATATGTCTCCCTTTTTCTATTGCTAAAATGTGATTACTAGTTCGAAATTTTGTCATTGAAATTCTTTGTTTCAAATTTAGCACATCTAAGTATTTTTCAAAATTATAAGAGTCTTTGAATTTTTCATAAGTTCTCAGCTTTGTTTTTTCAGTTATATTTTTTCTCCAGAAATTTATGTATTTTTGTTTGACAACTTTGCCAATTTGCTGTATATGTTTTGTTAACCAATCATTCTGTTGTTCTCGTGAAAAGTTCATGTTATGTTATGCATTTCACTTAGATAGCGGCAGTATCATTGTAACATCAAATATAACGATAATAACAATCTTAATGTTCGCGGTGGCATAGCTTGAGAAATTAGAAAGTATAATTTGTTAGTGTGTATTTCAGAGAAGAACTTACATGAGCTAACATTTGTGTAATTTTCCAGATGAAAATAATGAATTCAATAGAGTGAAAAAATCATTGTATATATTTGTATATAAAGATTGAATTTTTTTGAGTTACACAAAATTTTGTTTGTTTGTTCTGGTTAAATCAGGTGACAGGATTTAACACTGCCCCTCACCTGATAAGAAGGCTCTATCCGGTATTGTGCTTACTTTCCAACTAATCACAGGCCCTGCATGAGTAGTTGGTAGCATACTGTAAAATGACTAATTTTCACTGGGTTTAAATATTTATATATTCGCTGATTTACCATTTCAAACATATTCAGTGGGTTTTACATGTAAATTCATGGTTTTATCATTTAGATAATGTGTTCTATGCTAAATTTTACATATTCACTGGGTTTTAATTAAGTGCATTTTCCAGTCAGCGAAATAAGCAAAATTAAAACCCAGTGAATAATTAACCCTTTTACAGTACCACGTGAAACAGGATGTGCTCATTTTTTTGAAACACTAGACATCACTTTATGATGTCCATATATCGTTCTCTCACTGAAGTGACTATGTTGTGTGATGTATTTGTCAGCTAATTGTTTTGTTCCTGTGGATTGTTTTTTTTTTATCGTTGTCAGTAATTTTTTTTTAGTGTTCTCAGACTTTTAAGTTTCCTGATAAGACTTTTGTAAAACGAAATCTGTTGTGTGTATGTTATTTCTACTTTACTTATACATGTATTATCATTGAAGACACTCACAAATAGAATCATTGCAAACTGTGGTGTAGTAAATAGTTTGATTTGTCAGTATATTCGACAGGTACAGTTCTTATTTATCATTATTATCCTTAATAATGTAACCATAGCTACAACAAACGACAACTTAGTCGAATCTACCCTAAGGGAACTCGCATCGACTCCATGAATTACATGCCGCAGGTTTGTACACTATATTACACTAATTGTCTTGATCCAAACAATTGTCATGCAAATCCACTGTTATGAGCAGCTAATGGACAAAATCATTCAAGTACACATGTGACACCTGACTGACGTCGTATTGAGATTAGCCATCATGCGTTGAGAAGAGTGCCGTTCTAATTAACCTTTTTCACCACCAGGTCTCTCTTTTCATCACAAATTCAAAAAAAAACTTCTGCTTATAGTCTGCACTTTCTGTCAGGAGATTTTTTGAGTAAAAACTAAAAATTGACTAAAATTTTCTCTATTAGGGTTCATTTCCAGAAATATTGAAGAATATAAGAAAAACATTCTAAAACATTTTGGCGATTAAGTCTGATGGTGAAAACCTTTTGAATGCCATATTTACCATCAACATTTTGGTGCAATTAAAATGCAATTTCTGTTGAATTTGGACCAAATTCACAACTTTAATACCCACAGGCACATAGTGCTGGCATATAGTGGTTACAAGTGTACGCCCATTTGTTTGTCTGTACATCCATGGTTACTAGTAACAGTGGTACATCCAAATAAATATCATGTGGAGCACTATCCTCGGGCGGAGCTACGTCACATGACGTTCAAGCCGGTGAAAATTCAAACACAAACTCAACTTTGAGGTATTCCTGAACAACAAAATTTATATATGTTACACACGTAGGGCTAATCTTGTTACACTGTTCAGGGGACTCTCAACAACCATTCCAAAGTACTGTTTTCTGTGAGTTTTTTACCTTTGTTTTCACCGCGAGGGTTGCCAGGCAGTGAAAATGCTCGGATGTCCGCCCCGAGGATTGCCAGTGCTTGTAATAAAGATGCTGGGGGATTTACCATCTATGATAGCGTTCTTGTTCTGTTAATGCTGACAGAAGTTGACACCCAAATAATTAATCCCATGTTATCACACAATTACAAATTAACACTGACTTTATATACAAACACTGAATGATATAAGTATTGTAATAACTGGTCACTGTGATCTTCAGCTTGAACATGCTTCAGCAGTTTGATCAAACACAGTCCCTCCATAGACTCTATAGGGACTGTTTATCAACATAATTTTTTTCACCAACATTTTTTTCTCATACTTTGTTAATTCTTGATCAAAATTGTTGGAAACAAAATTTAAAAAATAATGATGATATATTTTGTAAAAAGCAGCAAAGGTTCACTTTGACATCAAATGGTTAAATGTTAAATATAAACTGTTAAACATTCACGATTTCAGGATGCTATATGGCATTCATGAAAACACAATTTCATGGTAGTCACCTCGACCCCAAAGAATTTTCAAATTTTCAATAAAATTTATGGAACTCAAAAAAATTTGTCTTGAAATGTTTATAGCATGAATATACATATAGTTATTTGATCTTGGGGGGAATAATTAATAATTCAAAACCAGAATAAAAGACAGGCATATTTATATCTGGTGTGGTGTTGAAATCATTTTGCAGCAGCTTTGTTGAACTTTACTGGGATTTAAAGTCAGTTTTATTTTCACTCGCTGAACAATGTTCTGTTTACGCTATTATTAGGAACACACATAGACATCAGACGGATTATCATAAATTCATACAATAGAGATCTGTTGTCAAGTGGCTTAATGACGTCATTATAGTCTAATTGTACGTCTGTATGTTTGTACATCTGTAACACAAAAACATATTTAACATGTATATGGGGACTGTTTATCAACATAATTTTTCTCACCAAAATTTTTTTTCATACTTTGTTAATTTTAGATCAAAATTGTTGGGAAAAAAATAGAAAAAAATATGCTGATATATTTTGTGAAAATCAGCAAAACTTCACTTTGACATCAAATGGTTAAATGTTAAATTATTATAAACTGTTTAACTTTCACGATTTCAGGATGCTATATGGCATTCATGAAAACACAATTTCATGGGAGTCACCTAGATTCTATGGACCCCCCCCCCCCCCCGAGAAATTTTTTGCAACCGGAAAAAATTTGTCTTGAAATGTTTATAGCATGAATATGCATAAAGTTATTTGATCTTGAGGGAAATGATTAATAATTAATAATTCAAAACAAGAATAAAGACAGGCATATTTAGTCCCCGTTCAGGCGCAGCCTGAAAAGGGGAGTTATAATTCAGGTTTTGTCCGGTTTCCGTCTCCAACATTTTCTCAGAAATTCTACAGCAGGTGTCAGTGAAACTTGGCAGGTTGATGAACAAGTGTATTCCGAGTATGCACGTAATTTTTTTTCCTGATCTGAAAATCCCAAGTGGGTCTTTTTCACGATTTTTATCAAAAATTACCTCTCCCGGCAACATTGACAGAATGTCTGCGCATGTTCAGAATAAATTAATTACTGTAAATACTTTATTTTGCTTGCAACATTTTTTTGCTATTTTCGCTGAAGGATGTTTCAGTTAAATAAAATCCAGCGAATATTCCCCTTTTCCTATATTTTACAGT